GTTCCCAAAACCATGTTTTTCCTATTGGGTATTTTTTTCATAATCTGTTGAAGAATAATTGACCAGAGAGTTGTGGGTTCCCTTCTGTGTATTATATCCTGTTCTATTGATCTATTTGTCTCTTCTGGTGCCAATACAATGCTGTTTTGATTACTACAGCTTTGTAATATAACTTGAAGTCTGGAATTATAGTGTCTCCAGCTTTGCTTTTATTTTTCAATATTGCTTGGGCTATTTAGTTTTGTGTGTGTGTGTGTGTATGATTCCACACATATGTTAGCATTGTTTGTTATAGCTCTGTGAAAAGTGCTAGTGGTATTTTGATAGGAATTGCATTAAATGCATAGAATGCTTTGAGTAGCATAGGCATTTTATGATGCTTTTGTTCAAATCCATGAGCATTGAATGCCTTTCAATTTCTTCGTGCCAACTTCAATTTCATTCATCAGTATTTTATAGTTTTCTGTAAATAGGAATTGCTTGATTAAAATCTATCTCAGGAATAAGTGTTGACATTCTTCTTGTTTGACTGAACTACACCATCCCTATAAGTAAGAGAGTGGACAATAATAAGACAGAAATAAAAGCTTTGCAGAGAGTAAATCTTTGGATTAGAAGGAAATATAACAACGTGGATGAAAGTGATAAAAGAAACAAACTGAGGGCTGATAGAGGTGAGGTGGGTGAGGGGATGCGGTAACTGGGTGATGGGTATTAAGGAGGGCACATGATGTGGTGAGCACTGGGTGTTATAGACAACTCATAAATTACTGAACTTTACATCTGAAACTAACAATGTAGTGTATGTTGGCTAATTGAATTTAAAAACAATTTTAAAAATAAGGTGGAAACTTAAGTGGATAAAAGAGGATTGGTAAAAACTAAGAAAGCAATGTGGGGACAGTGCAGAGAAATGGACACCATATGGTATCACTCTTGGAAGGAGGAGTGAGCAGGTACTTACATGTAGCTTGACTTGGGAGAGACCAAGAAGACCCCTATAGTTCCCCCATTGTTCTGATGATGTTTGTCATTCCAGCATTAGATATCCTTTCTTTTTCCTTAAGCTTTTTCCTCTGCTAAAAAATGTAGCTGCTCCATCACCCAAACAGATTAAATATTAGAACAACATGTACAGAAGATCAATTACTGGGAACATACTTGAAAATATCAGAAAACCTGAGAATGTTGAGTATAAGAAATAGGCCAAGGAAATCATCTTAAAAAGGATTCAAGTAGAAGAGATGATAGCCCTGTTCATAATTTTGGTTAAGTCAGGAAAATAACTATGGTATAAGACAGAATGCATTGATCTCCTAGTTCATGTACACCATCATCAATGAAGAGGGTTGGGTTCTTGAACTCCATAAACCCCCTATGATCCCTACAGACCGGTCTGCATGGTGAAAATGGCAAAAGTGTTACAGGTCTCCCACACACAGAGTACAATAGTTCTAAGATCCAGGCAACAACTAAATGTTTGTTTGTTGTCCAAGTGTTATATGAGCTATTGTTTATACAACTTTGTGACAAACTAGGTAGGCTGCCTTATTATGACATGTTCACAGAGAGTACTGAGAATCTTTACAAGAAGCACAGCACATGATCAGGGTTCCTGACAGTTAGAAAAACCAGCATTCAGGAAACATGCATTAAGCATCCGCAAATTTCCAGAATTTGGCCAAATTTTGGCTTAATAAAATATTATTAAAGCCATTAATCTTTCCACTGCATTTCCTCTCCAGTACGATTATGTCAATTCCCAGTGTTCCCCTTCCCATTTGCAAATATGCAAGCCACTTCTAAAATTACATCTCACTTCTTCTCGCTTTTATCCAGAAAGTCTAAGCTATATCCCTGAAGAACTTTCCATGCTATTCTCTGCTGTTTCTTTGCTTCTTTATGCATACTGTCCCTAACATCTGGAATGCCCTCTCTTAAATGGGAAAATTCTTACATATTTTTAAAGATGTATTTTTTAAAATGTAAGTGTGTAAGATGTATTTTAAGATGTATTATATGTGTAAGATGCATTTTAAATACATCTTAAATACATATTTTAATATGTATTTAAAATATTATCTCCAGCACAAAGTTTCATCTTATTTCCTTCTAAAGTTTGAACAATTTCTTTTAAAACCAATATCACATTTCATTATAATAATGGTCTCTTTCCTTCACCTTACTGATGTCAGAGGTGAAGTTCACGTATCTTTTAATCCTTATAGTCTAAACTACAGTTTGTCTAACACAGACACTGAACTCAACAGAAATGTGTAGAATGAAAGAATAACAGTAAAGCAGTGAAATGATTTGTGGAAAGAATGAGGGATTAAGTTACAATTTGTCAAAACATAAATCTGAAATTCACTTACTTTACCATAAAAATTATTTAAATCTAGCAGAAATATTATATATTTAATATATTATAAATGCATTTACATATAATGTAAATTTATACATTTACATATAATATACTATTATATATAATAGTGTGTATATATACATATGCATATATGTATATGTATGTGTGTATGTATATACACACACACTCAGGAATGTAAGATGTATGTATGTATACATACATATATATATATGTATGTATATATGTATATATATACACACACTCAGGAATGTAAAATCTCGGATGTATGCTGAAAAAAAATGGAAAAACGTAACATTTTAATTGTTTTGCAAATAGTTCACAATACAGTATTGGATGTCGCTGAAAGAAATACTTGATAGGATTTCAACTCTTTCTTGACTTATTCTGTGAACTCTATGACACATCAACTTGGCCAAGTCACTTTATTTCAATGAGTATCATTTTCTTGTTTATATAATATAATACTACATCTGTATTCCTTTACCTGGTCTAATTATAAAAACTACATTTAAAATGTCATTTAAGGGCAGCTTGGGTGGCTCACCTGCTTAGTGCCACCTTCAGCATGATCCTGGGGACCTGGGACTGAGTCCCTATCGGGCTCCCTGCATAGAGCTTGCTTCTCCCTCTGCCTGTGTCTCTGCCATTCTCTCTCTCTCTTTCATGAATAAATAAATAAAAATCTAAATAAATAAGTAAATAAATAAATAAATAAATAAATAAATGTGATTCACTACATCTGGAGAAGTGTACAGGCATTATTTAATCAGGCAACTTTAATTAACTGCAATATTTTATTTCATAAGCCCTATGAAACTGAAAATATGATATTGTATTATTAACTTTTCAGAAGCTATAAAGTGCAAAATATGCAAGCAAAGCTTATTGTCACACAATTATTGTCAATTTATATCCTCAAGGTACAGGCCTTGGCGGTTTTGAGTGTTCAAAATATCTAAAAAGCAGGAGAAAAGAAAAAAAAACAGAACCCGTCTTCTGAAAATATTACCAAACTATAGGGTTCATAAAAGGAGATTTGTCCATTAATAAGGCAGAATGCAACATACACCATGAGAGATTGATGACCACAGAATATAGGAGGTGAGAGAAATACCATGTCTCAGGACCACAGAAGAAAGAACATTTGAGATGGAACTTTGAAAATGGGCAATGTACCTTATCCATCAAATCAAAGCTGAGTTCCTGTTTCTCTACTCATTAGTTTTTGGAAAATTGTCTCAAACTTATGGATTATTCACAACCTTCCCCCATCACACTCATACACCTTCTATAAATCCCTGTACTTAACATTATTTTAATTGCACCTACAGGTATAGCCAAAACTGCAAGAAATAAAGGAATTGCTTTGACTTATTATGAAAACATGCACATGTTTGGGACTGATTAGGTACCTTAAGGTGTTAATTTTGCCACTTATGCAAAGTAAATTTCAAATTATGCCCAATATAGGCATTTAACCCTGTTGGCCAAAAAACGTTCTAGAATCTCTATGCTCCCTAATTATTTTAATCTGCATATCACTCCTGTGGTGTGGATATACTTCAGTCCAATTTTACAAAAGAAGGAAAAAAGACACAGAAAGATGATCCAACTACACCAAGGCAATCATGCAGGTAAATGTGATGATTTGATGAAGAGAGCTTCAAATTCTAGTACTGATCGTCAGGAGGCTGTGCTTTTAACTGATCTACAACACTGCATCTGCTTCTACAGTTTATAAGTCCAACTTAACCTTTGCTAAGCAAGATATTCTATATTTTAAAATAAAGCATTTCTTCAAAGATGGACCCTAACAGTCTCCTCCATCATGACCTTCTGTCTTACTTTTGTACAGCATCAGCTGGTAGCTTGAATTACTTTGATGAGAGAAACTGCATGCAGAGTAGGGAAACTTCTGTGAAACTAGAAACAACACATTTGTGAAGTCTTCTTAAATACTGATGCTATTATTAGAAATTCTAGTTTACCTAACTTAAGAGATACTTGAGTTGGAATTAGAGCAAGAAAGACTCATGGGCAAATGGGCAAATACTCTATGTGAGAGAGAAAAGGCAAGCACAAATAACACTCAATTCTGCAAATTCTTATCTGTTCTCAGGTTATCAAAGCCTCTTACCATCTTCAAGAGAATCTTCTTCATTTGCTATAAAGTCTCCTAGGACTGAGTGAAAGTGTTGATTTTTTAAAATTTAAAATGATCATAACTATCCTGTTGAAGTTATATCTGCACAGAACCTCAAGGTGATGAATTTGTAAGTGCTTAAAAATATACACATGATACATTTTCATCAAATTGATTAGCTTTTAGTTGATAACTTTAAATGTATCTGTGTTCTTATTTGGTTACTATTAGTGACTACAGTTTGTAACAGTAGCTACAGTATGTAAATAGTAGTTTATTGAGTAATTTATGAGATATAATTTTATATGTCAATAAGTTATTTATAACACTAAAGAGATCTCAACAAGGAACACAATCAGCATGAACATATTCAGAAGAGTCCTGATAGTAAGAAAAGTAGATGAGATGCACGGCAACATATTGGGTGGAATGGTGTTTTTACCATTGTTTTCTGGGCAATAATGTTCAGCCATGGAGGGAAACAATAAGACCATCACCACAGATTTTATCCTCTTGGGGCTCTGGCCTGAGTTTAGCCACCTTGTGGTCCTTATCTGCTTCATTCTTATGGTTTACCTTATGGCTGTAATGGGCAATGCTGTTCTCATTCTCCTCATCTGGTTGGATTCTCGACTCCACTCTCCTATGTACTTCTTGCTCAGCCAGCTCTCCCTTATTGATGTGGCCTTGATCTCAACTACAGTCCCCAAAATGGTCACCAACTTCTTCTCAGGGAAAAGGACCATATCACAGATTGGCTGTGGAGCTCAGATTTTATTCAGCTTAACCTTGGGAATTTCTGAGTGCCTTCTACTGACTCTCATGTCCTATGACCGCTACATTGCTATCTGCAATCCACTACGTTACTCAATCTTGATGAGCCATACCATCTGTAAACAGATGGTTGTTGGGTCCTGGGCAGGAGGGGCGATAACTTCCCTGGTTCATACAGCCTATGTCATGCACTTAGCCATTTGTCATCCTCGAGAGATCCCACACTTCTTGTGTGAGGTCATGGCACTCCTTAAGCTCACTTGTGAGGACATTTCAGCCTATGTGAAGTCAGTGGTGGTCTCAAGCTTTCTGGTGGTCCTCATCCCTCTGAGTCTCATCCTGGCTTCCTACATCCACATATTCCTTGCCGTCCTCCGCATGAACTCCCTTGAAGGGAAAAACAAGGCCTTGGCCACATGCTTCTCCCACCTCTGTGTGGTCAGTCTCTACTTTGGCCCTGCCATATTAGTCTATATGAGGCCAGGATCCTTTAAAACTCCCAAAATAAACCAGTCCCTTTTTATGTTTAATGCCATTCTTACTCCTATGCTTAATCCCCTCATCTATAGCCTGAGAAACAAGGATGTCATAGCAGCTCTGAAGAATATAATCATCAGTAGAATCCTCCTAAAAAAGATGAAAAGACAGCTAGGTTGCCATACATAATTATAATCACTTATTTGTACATTGATTTGTTCTAAGAGCCTTTAATACTTGACAAATATTTTATGAGAATAATGGATATATGAGAGGTCCTTTGTTTCAATCCCCATATTGTGTGAAAATAAAAAATAAAATGAAATATAAAATAACTTTTGATGTTCTTATAACACAACCCAAAGGTCTAATTCTTCCAACAAAAAAATCCTGAAAATGCACTGCTTTTCTAAATAACAGGCATCATTTTTGCTCATATATATGTACTCCTCTGGCTAAACATACTTATGAATAAGAAGGCATGAGCTGCTCCTAAGAACAGTGAGGGAATTAAGAAAAATTTTTTGACTGTTATTATTTTTTTAATTTTTTAAAATTGTGGTTCAATTTGCCAACATTTAGCATAACACCCAGTGCTCATTCCTCCAAGTGCTCCCCTCAGTGCCCATCACCCAGTCACCCTAACCCCCCCTCACCTCCCTTTCCACTACCCCTTGTCTGTTTCCCAGACTTAGGTGTCTCTCAAGTTTTCTCACCCTCACTGATATTTTCACTCATTTTCTCTCCTTTCCCTTTATTCCCTTTCACTAATTTTTATATTCCCCAAATGAATGAGACTATATAATGTTTGTCCTTCTCTGATTGACTTATTTCACTCAGCATACTACCCTCCAATTCCAACCACATTGAAGCAAATGGTGGGAATTCGTCATTTTGAATGGCTGAGTAATATTCCATTGTATACATATAACTCATCTTCATCCATTCATCTTTTGACGGACACTGAGGCTCCTTCCACAGTTCGGCTACTGTGGACATTGCTGCTATAAACATTGGGGTGTAGGTGTTCCAGCATTTCACTGCATCTGTATCTTTGGGGTAAATCCCCAGAAGTGCAATTGCTGAGTTGTAGGACAGATCTGTTTTTAACTCTTTGAGGAACCTCCACACAGTTTTCCAGAGTTAGCTGGGGGCATCACAATGCCAGATTTCAGGTTGTACTATAAAGCTGTGGTCATCAAGACAGTGTGATATTGGCACAAAAACAGACACATAGATCAATGGAACAGAATAGAGAATCCAGAAAAGACCCTCAACTCTATGGGCAACTAATATTTGACAAAGGAGGAAAGACTATCCACTGGAAAAAAGACAGTCTCTTCAATAAATGGTTCTGGGAAAATTGGACATCCACATGCAGAAGAATGAAACTAGACCACTCTCTTGCACCATACACAGAGAGAAACTCAAAATGGATGAAAGATCTTAATGCGAGGCAAGATTCCATCAAAATGGTTAACGCCCTTTTTATACTTGGCCACAGCAACTCCTTGCAAGATACATACATGAAGGCAAGGGAAACAAAAGCAAAAATGAACTATTGGGACTTCATCAAGATAAGAATCTTTTGCACAGCAAAGGATACAGTCATCAAAACTCAAAGACAACCTACAGAATGGGAGAAGATATTTGCAAATGACGTATCAGATAAAAGGCTAGTTTCCAAGATCTATAAAGAACTTATTAAACTCAAGACCAGGGGGGATCCCTGGGTGGCGCAGCAGTTTGGCGCCTGCCTTTGGCCCAGGGCGTGATCCTGGAGACCCGGGATCGAATCCCACGTCGGGCTCCCGGTGCATGGAGCCTGCTTCTCCCTCTGCCTGTCTCTGCTCTGCCTCTCTCTCTCTCTCTCTCTCTCTCTCTCTCTCTGTGTGTGTGACTATCATAAATAAATAAATAAATAAATAAATAAATAAATAAATAAATAAACTCAACACCAAAGAAACAAACAACCCAATCATGAAATGGGCCTAAGATATGAAGAGAAATCTCACAGAGGAAGACATAGACATGGCCAACAAGCACATGAGAAAATGCTCCGCATCACTGGCCATGAGGGAAATAAATCAAAACCACAATGAGCTACCACCTCACGCCAGTGAGAATGGTGAAAATTAAGAAGACAGGAAACAACACATGTTGGAGAGGATGTGGAGAAAGGGGAACCATTTTGCCCTGTTGGTGGGAATGTGAGCTGGAATTAAGAATTTTATGTTTGGCTGAGGAAGCATAACTTCTTTTTATTTTTTGAAGATTTTATTTATTATTCATGAAAGACCCAGAGAAGAGAGGCAGAGACACAGGCAGAAGGAGAAGCAGGCTCCACATGGGGAGCCTGATGTAGGACTTAATGCCAGGACTCCAGGATCATGCCCTGAGCCTAAGGCAGATGCTTAACCTGTGAGCCACCCAGGCGTTCCCAGGAAGCATAACTTCTAATGGCAGGACTCAATTGTTATAGCATTAAAATAACATGCCTTGAATTATGAACGGCAACTTTCAGGTTGCCAAAAGCTCACACATTTGCAACCCAGTAGTCAGTCCTTTCCTTTCCTTTCCTTTCCTTTCCTTTCCTTTCCTTTCCTTTCCTTTCCTTTCCTTTCCTTTCCCCTTTCCTTTCCTTTCCTTCCTTTTATTCTCTCTTTTCTCTTTCTTTCTTTCTTCTTTATTTTCTATTCTTTTTAATGAGAAACAAAGAGTAACCTGATGCCTTTCTCTTCACCTCAAAAATTTTTAGGTTTAAAAAAAAATTAGGTTTTGTTTTGTACTCTTCCTTCTGGATTCATACTCATTTTCAAAACCCATTTTAAGCCTAGACATACATGAGGAAGATATATGTATCAATTATATACCCCTGAAGTTTATAGATTTTGTTATTAGGATTATTGTGTCAAAATAGAACTGATAGAGGTTTTGTAATTCTTTCTTTGCTCACATAGGCAGAATCAAATTTTGTCCTATATTAAATATACTGCAATTGTTTGAAGACAAAGGAAGTTTTAAAACATAAATTCAACAATATAGAATTTTAGGTTATTCTATTACGCTGTGACCTAGGCTTATCCTTTTATGGTAAATCACATTATACGTACTTTTCTTAAAATAACATTCCTGAGAGTTCACATTTGACAGGATTACTATCTCTCAATCATGGAAAAGTGTTCCTTTCATAGATGTAGGCTGGTGCTGGTGAGCTCAATCAAGTAAGGTAGGACACAGGATGAATTTGAGCCTTATCTTGCTCCTTCATCTCAATACTACAAAACATTTATAACATTGTGAATCAGAAGAAAAGATCAAATTAAAAGTTAAATGTAGTGAACAGAATGAAGAAACAGAAAACAAGAACTTTATGGTAGTAAACTATTTTGTATAATACTCTAATTATGGGTACATGTTTGCATTGGAAGACTGCAGAATTCTGTCAATCTGAGAAATTGGATTAAAATACTACCTACCTTCTAGGATTTCTGAGAGGATTAAATGAGTTAATATATGTAAACTACTCAGAACCGTGCAGGCAACAAGGAAGTCCTTGTTACATAGATACATGCATCCGAAGGAAAGACATTTGCTTAGAACACAGTAGGAAAGTGATAGAACTAGACTTTTTAAGCCTTTCTTCCTATGCATGGTAATTGAGGCTTTATTTTTATAGGTAATAAAGATGTACCATATTTATTTTAACTTGGATGTCATATAACTGTGTACTAAAATCAGACTTTTTTATTTTTAAGGATTTTCTATATTTCAAAAGAACACTTTTCAGTATTTTCAAAAGTAGACTTAATTTTGTTGTCCTTACTTGTTATTTCTAATATTTCTGCACCTGGCAGCAAAAAGGAAGAGTCAACTAAGTCTTCTTGTGTATTCTAGAATGACATGGGATATCATCTCACTATATTGGCAACTATCAGAGTAGCAGGTGTGCCTGAGGTTAGGAGCTCCAAAGGCAAAATAAATACAACCCCCTCTAAAGAAAGACAGAAAACTGGAATTAATACTATCAGAGGCAAAAGTATAAGAGATTTCTCAAGAATACAAAATAGGCAAGATATCAGCATTATGAAATGACAAAAAATAAAAATGAACCAAGTGAACATATTGTGACAAAGATGACAGTTGAAGTGAAAATACAAATAGTAAAGAAGCAATAGAAAAGATACAGCTAAAAAATAAATTTGTGACATAAATGAACTCCTCCCAAAGGTCCTAGAAAAGAGTAAAGAGGTAGGAAAAAAACGAGTTAACAGATGCAGAAACTAAATGAATAAATTTCCATCCTGATATGAGAATTCTGAAAGGAAAAAGATGGAAAGGAGGATAATGCTGTCTCCACAAAATCTAGCAAACTAAGTTCAATAGCACATTAAGAGGATTATTTTTTTTAAATGTTTTTTTTTAACTTTTATTTATTTATGATAGTCACAGAGAGAGAGAGAGAGGCAGACACACAGGCAGAGGGAGAAGCAGGCTCCATGCACCGGGAGCCCCACGTGGGATTCGATCCCGGGTTTCCAGGATCGTGCCCTGGGCCAAAGGCAGGCGCCAAACCGCTGCGCCACCCAGGGATCCCACATTAAGAGGATTATACAACGTGATCAAGTGAGATATATTCCTGAACATAAGGATGGTTCAACCTATAAATATCAATCAATGTGACACACCACAGAAAAAGAGGGAGGGGGGAAATTACATGAATACCTTACTGGATGTGGAAAAAATTATGTTGCAATAATAGTTTTATTTTCTCAAAAACATTTGTAACTTTTAAAACTTTATCTAATGCTATTATAACTCTTAGAATTTTGTAATTGCTATTGGTGTTAAGAACTTAATAAAGTTTATCATCTTTTTATTCAAAAAAAATAAAAATTATTCGCCAGAATTTAAAAAACTTTCATGAGGAAAACACTCAACAAACTAGGAATAGATGGAAACAACTTGAGTATAATAAAGGCTATATATGAGATTTCAGTAGTGGAGTATTATACTCAATGATGAAAGACTAAAAGTTTTTTTCAGGGCACCTGGGTGGCTCAGTAATTGAGCATCTGCCTTTGGCTCAGTTTGTGGTCCTGGGGTCCTGGTCAAGTTCTGCATCAGGTTCTCTGCATGAGGCCTAGTTCTCTCTCTGTCTATGTCTCTCATGAATAAATAAATACAAT